CAAGAAATCACCCCCCAGGGGGGATGGTCACGCTGCAATCCCTTCTCCTCCATTCTCCTCCCGGGATCTTGGGCACGCACGCACACACGCCCGGCGTGAGTTTTAAGCCACCGGGTCCAGGACGTGAACCGCGGTCGACTACGTGGGAGTCCAGCGACATAGCCATTACGCTAACTGCTGGTTCCCCCTTTATTATACTTTTGACAGCTACAGATCTATCCATGTTTCATTATTAATAGTGATTGTGTCTTCTGTTTTAATTTATTGTTTGTCACTCTTGATAGAAGTTTGTCAATTTTATAGATATTTGTGAAGAACCAGCTTTGTGTATTTCACTCATTTTTCTCTATGGTATTTATCTGCAATTTCACTGACTTCTGTTCTTATCTTTATTTCATTCTTTCTGCTTCTTTGGGTTTATTTTTGTCTTTTTCTAGTTTTTTGAGTTAGGAGCTCTGATTGTTAATTTGGGACTTTTCCTCTTTCCCAATAGAAGTATTTAACTGCTGAAATGTGTTTCTCTAGAACTTGTATTCATTTAGTTCAAGTTGTATCCTGTGGGAATATTAGCAAGCAATTCTCACCCCTTTATCCCAAGAAATTCAGACATCCTGGTTTGCCTGAGATGACCCTAGTTTGTACCTGCTGTTCCAGCAAAATTAATAGCCTCTTCTACCATCAAGATTTAAACAAAACATTATTCAGTTCCTCTATCCAGGAGAGCCTTCAAATATTTGAAAACTAATATTTTCAGTTTTTTTTTATTTAATTTGCTGAAGAGTGCATGTGCCTGCTAGAGAGAAAGAAAGAGAAAGATAAAGAGGGAGAGAGAGAAGGAGAGAAAGTGAAAAAGTACTCTCCATGGGAAATGGTCAGGCTATAATTCCTTCTTCCCCCTTTTGGGATTTCAGGTACACAGACACACACATACACATACACACACACAAGCACACATGCCCATCTGGTGTATTTTTCAAGTTATCAAGTGTGGGACTTGAATCTCATAGCTGGTCATGTGGGATCAGCCACCTTAATCACCACAACACCAGCTGGCCTGACCACAAGTATTTTTATCAAGTTAAACATCTCCTTGCTTTCCTCTATGTTCTTTTTTTTTCTTTTTTTTTTTTTTTAATTACCAGAGGGCACATGCACTTGTTAGAGACAGACAGAGAAAAAGAGAGGAAGTACCCTCCAGTGGGGTCTGATCACAATGAAATCCATTCTCCTCCATTTCTCCATCCTGTCAGATTAGGGACATGCACCCACCTTGTTTTTCAAGCCCCCAGGTCTAGAACTGGAAGTACTGTTGGCCCTGCAGGACCCAGGTCTCTTAACCACTAAGCTATAGAGCTGGCCTTTCAACTGTTCTTAATGTGATATGATTTTTAGGGCCTTCACTAGCCTGATCAATCTTGCTTCTGAATGCACACAGCACATTTACGTTCTAAGAACCTATTGCTTAAACTTCTTTTTGAAGATCTATGTTAATGAAAGATTCTATAATTCCAATTAAAGAACAGAAAGCTATTAATTTCCCTTTGAATACTAGACCTACCTACAGTCATGGAATTACTTCTCTCTGGGTAAAGACCCCTGTCACCTTATACAAATGGTACAGGTTGCAGTCTCACATACCACCAGTAGGTGTCACTCTCTATATATTTTAAATGACTGACGTTTCAATTAATTCATTTATTAATAATTATTCATTTATTGAGTGCCCATTACATGCTAGGCATGATTCTAGATATTGCGAATATAGCAGTGAACAAGAAAGACACAGTCCTGTTCTCATGAAGCTTACAGTCTAGCTATTAATAACTAAATCTGCTTTATTTGTTTTCTATATAAAAGTCTGTAAAGATCTATTCCTAATATAGTACAAGTCAGAACTGTATTTTTCTAAGGTAATAGATAACACTCAAACTAATTCATAAGGGCAACTCCCACGGTACAGAGGTTAAACACTATCTATGCAAAGGAAGCTGGATCCCACATGATTGATGGGTTTGAATCCCTGGGCATGATGCCCAGGATTCTGACAGATAGAGAAATAGAAGAAAGGGTTACAGAATGGCCAGACTCTGCTGGGGGAAAGGCAGGGAGAACCTCATGTGCATTTACACATTTTCTATCTCTGTCTCTGTGTGTCTCATGGGTGCATAAACACACCGTCTCCCCTTCCCCAAAAAAATAAACTCATAAATAAAAAATACTATAATGAAACAATCAGTTAAGTAGTCTTCCGTAGGAGCTAATGTATCCTGTGTATTTTCTAGCCTTTTTAATTATTCAGCACTGCTCTTCCAAACTTCAAGTTTTAAACCTCAAATTTTAGATATTCCTTAGTACAGTGGAAAGGAATCTATCACAAGAAAAATCTGAATTTGAAAAAACTACATACTCATGTTTTACAAGCAGTGACCATGTTACAAATTTAACAGACTGGGACACTGGACTTCCACATGGCCAACTGTGATTTAAGTCCTGGACCCGGTGGCTTCCACTCTCACTTTCTCTCTCTGTCTCTCTGGTGAGTGCACATACCCTATAGTAAAATTAAAATAATGATAATAATAATTAATAAAATTAAATAATTCTTTTTAAAAATGTAGCAGATTAAACAGATTATTTGCAAAGATTATTAATTTTCGGCATCCATATTTGCTTCTCTCTCCTTAGAAAAGTTAAATGTCACCTTCTAAATTCCAACACACTTCCCAGGGTAACAAAGTAAGTTAATCAATTATGCCTCTGAATTTAGGAATTCCTTCAAGGTCAAGTCCTTGTTTAGACAACCCTGTGAAACTCATAGCTGTTACCAGGACTTCAAGGTGACTTACTTATGCATATTGCATAGGAATGAGCATGAAAGGTCACACTTTGTAAAGGAAACAAATGTAAGATATAGGCAGACAGAGCACATCAAGAAGGCATACTGCTTGCACACAAATCCAAGAACCTAGAAACTACTCAATTACTATTTTGTTATCATCTAATCTCAAATAGAATGTGTTCCAAACTGGAAAAGCTAGGGGGGGTAAAAAAAAAAATTTAGGGAATATTTCAGATTTCAGAATCTTTTACTTTTTTTTTTTTTAATTTGCTATAGAGTACATAAACTCGTTAAAAAAGAGACAGAGAGAGGGACCAGCAGTTAGCGTAATGGCTATGTCGCTGGACTCCCACGTAGTTGACCACGGTTCAAGTCCAGACCCGGTGGCTTAAACTCACGCTGGGCATGAGTGCGTGTGTGCCCAAGATCCCGAGAGAATAGAGGAGAAGGGATTGTGGCATGGCCATCCCCTCTGGGGGGTGATTTCTCGCTTTCTGTCTCTCTCTGTTTGACGAGCGCACGTGCCCTATAGCAAAAACCGCTCCAAAAAAAAAAAAAAAAGACAGAGAGAAAGTGAGAGATCACCCCTTCTCTCAAAATTTTCAGCATACATGCTCATGTGCCTGTGTTTTTCAAGCTCCTCGGTCCAGGACTCGAACTATGCAGTCAGCCATGTGGGATCCAGCCACCTTTACTACTAGACTAACTAGCTACCTTTTTTCAGATTCTTAAGAAGACAAAGAAAAAAGCCCTACTGCCTAGAACTCTTCAAGTTCAAAATTGAGAAAAATAGTGATTTTATAAATTTAATAAGACTCTTCACAACTTCACAGAACATCTACCGTAAGGTTCCTTTCAATTGCCTCAAACTATTAGTTACCTATTTTGGTTGCTTGAGATATAGCACATGTTGTTCAGTTTTAGCATGGAATTATAGTCTTATTTTAGAATACAACCATTTGGGACCAGCAGTTAACGTAATGGCTATGTCACTGGACTCCCATGTAGTCAACTATGGTTCAAGTCTCGGACCCGGTAGCTTAAACTCACACCGGGCACGTGTACGTGCGTGCCCAAGATCCTGAGAGGAGAATGAAGGAGAAGGAATTGCAGTGTGGCCATCCCTCCGGGGGATGATTTCTCCCTTTCTGTCTCTCTGTCTTTCTGGCAAGTGCATGCACCCTATAGCAAAAACCTCTCAAAAAAAAAAAAAAAAAAAAAAAACAACCATTCAGTGAACACGAGTTACAAATGAATACTAACCAGCTTCATAAAAGATGGTTAATGGTGGGAAAATACCTAAAATAATTTATATGTCAATATTAAACAGGTATTTTCTTTTACTTTTTATGGTAAAGTGGTGGTTGATTAAATATATTTAAAACAGTTCACTGTCTATGATTTGTAAATGATACTTATAAACTTTATGACAGGCCCAATACTGTTAATATTTGGCATATCTGATATGTTACCAAATTTGCCTATACTTAATGGCAAATACCTCTGCTAGATCCTTATTTTTATTCCAAATATAAAAGTCTGTGTGTATGTGTGTGTGTGTATGGTAAGAGGGCTTCATGTATTGCAAAAGGCACAATTTTTGAAGTCACAAAAATTGAGGTACCCTAAATTAGCTATGTGACTCTGGGCAAGTTGCTTAACCTGTTCTAAACATCACCTTCCCATCAAGATGCAAATAATAGGACTGTGAGGACTAAGCTGTTTTTCGTAAACGCCTAATACAGAGACAGATACACAGTAGGTGCTCAATAAATGGTAGTTATTATGGAACATCACTTTTGTTTTTGACCGTTAGAATGACTATATCAATTAATGTTGAGCAACTACTGATTCACAAACTTAACTCACACAAAATGCACCTTTACCCTGCTATAACACTTTTATAAAACCAAACCCCTTACTCAACTGAATGCCAACAAATATGCACCTTTTCCTTTAGCTCAAATATATTTTGCATGACCTTATATGAATTGCTTAGATAAAAGCTTTTTCTCTTCTGCTTTTGTTATTTTAAAGTGCAGATGCATTTGAGTCATTTTCTCCTTTTGTTTCATATCCTTAAGATCCAAAGCTTCAAAGACAGAATGTCAGCATGCAGTCGATTTATGAGTGAACTCTTGAAGAGACACTGAAGAATTACCTTGTCAATCACCCCAAGGACTCTGAAGGCCTTCAGCTCCTCGGCAGGGCTCCTTAGGTTCCAAGGGGGCCTTGAACTTAGTGATCCTGGAGGCTAATGGAAGATATCAAAGATTATACATCAATCAGGGAGGTACTTGAAGGAAGACTGCCTGCTGAAGCAAATGCCAGGCCAAAGGAAACTAAATTTATCATAAATCAGAGAATGGCAAGATGAAAGGAAGAAGTTTCTGTTTGTCTGTAATGTAAAAGAAAAAAATAAAAAATAAAGAAAATCAAAAAGAAAAGGCAAGAAAAAAGTTGCAAGTAAATAAATCATAACATTGAAAACAAAATTTTAAAAAGAAAAATTAATGAGCTGATATAGCTTCTAGAGCAATAATTCAGAACTGTACTGCTACCATGAAACTCTGTAACAAATAAATAACTGGGCCAACAGTCAATCACAGCCTTATATTTACCCCAGATGGCTCGAGAGTAATTTAGCATGGAAAGTACTAAATACAATGTAGTAAGGAATAAATTTGGACAGAGATGGACACAAGCATTTCCTTACATCATGAAATCAGTCTTTTAATATTACTTTATAGATATATGCTGTGTGTTTTAAGAGGGATTGGCAGATTCAAGTTCAACCAGAAAAAAATAAATACTGAGGAAAATTATAAAACTCCATCATATAGACAGTAATCATTAAATTGAGGGTTAAGAAATTATTTACAGGAGAAATTTTTCTTCAAATATTGGAACAGCTGTATCTGTTAATTACAAAGAATATGGGCGGGGGGGTGGATCAGTAGATAGAGGAATGGGTATTTCAGTACCACACGAAATTAAAAAGTAATCCTGGGACCAGAAGTGGCGTGGAGATTAAGGCGCTGGATTCCACATGGCCAGCTGTGTGATTCAAGCCCCAGACCCAGCAGCCTGACAATCATGCCAGGCGCACCTGCATGCATGGCCAAAATCCTGGGAGAAAACTGGAGGAGAAGGGACTGCAGCATGGCCGTCCGCCAGTGGGAAGATTTCTCACTTTCTCTCTCTCTCGCTCACACAAGCGCATGCACCTTATAGCAAAAACTAAAGAAAACATCAGTAACTCCAACTTCCACCTACTGTTTTTCACTTTTCCTTATATAAAACAAACCATGAGATTAGATAAACTCTAAGAATACCTCCACATGGCATTTACAACAGAAAATACCACCGTGTTAATCCTTATATTTCAATGCTGTTGCAAAGGAGAACAGGAGACATAAGGACTTATACACTGAGAGCAGACTTACTGCTATAAAAAAATCTGTTAGAGTATAGAAGAAACATTTCGACCCCATGATTAATTGAGCATCGAGGTAAGAGAATTACTGAGATACCATATTTGGTACTTCAAGTCCCTATGCTGACCAACATCGCTAGGCCAAGAACCTTGCGGAACAGGAAATGAATCTTATTCATCTTCATATCAGCAATGCCTATCATGCTGTTAGTGTTTCCTCGGATGAAGTCAAAAAGCAGAAATGAGAAGGAAAAGGAAAGAAACAAGGACGAGGGATTGCCTGGATAAATTTGGTATCATTTGTAACTAAGAAAATTACCACTTGTCAATTTTTCTACAAGCAGCAATGCTAATTGCTTTCAAGTAATTTTTTGTTTTGTTTTTAGATTTAACAAAAGCAAAAACTAATTTCAGTGTACCTGAAAGGGTGACATATGGTTATAAAAAGAGAGATTTTTCATTTAATAAAGATACTTCAGAAAGTTGGTGATACTTGGAACCAGCAGTTAGCGTAATGACTATGTCACTGGACTCCCACATAGTCGACCACGGTTCGCGTCCCAGACCCGGTGGCTTAAAACTCACGGCGGGCGCGTGTGCGTGCATGCCCAAGATCCCGAGAAGAGAATGGAGGAGAAGGGATTGCGGCGTGACCATCCCCCCCTGGGGGGTGATTTCTCGCTTTCTGTCTCTATGTCTCTGTCTGTCTGGCGAACGCACGCGCCCTATAGCGAAAATCTCTCAAAAAAAAAATAAAAGAAAAAAAGAAAGTTGGTGATACTGAGCAACTGGACTGAGCAATAATTATTTTACAAGTTTATTTAATATATACTTCTTGGAAATGTTTCAAAAAATAATCTCTAATTTCATGAGGTCTGGATAAGATGCCATAAAAAACATATCTGTGCCTCCCTAAAAGCATAAAATCTTAAAGGAATTTTTTAAATTATAAAGACACTTAGCAGGGGCCAGCAGATGGCATGGTAGTTAAGGTGCTGGACTTCCACATGGCTGACTGCAGTTCAAATCCCATACCTGGTGGCTTGCTTTTTCCCTCTCTCACTCACTCTCTGGTAAATTAAAATAATAATAACAATAAATAATTTTTTAAATATAAAGACACTTAGCAAGATATTTTAATATTATACATGTAAATAGACATAAAACAGAAATAATCTCTCTTATCTAATTTATATATAATATCCCAAGTGTTTACTTACAGAAAGTTATTATCATCATTCCCCTTTTCCAGATTAATAATTAATAGGTCAGAATGGTGGGGTGTTGGTGTGTGGTGAGAGAGAGATACAGTGGAAGATTCCAGACAAGGAACTCCCATACTTTAATGCTTGCAGTCTTTCTACTAAACCACACCTTCTGATCATTAAAAATTTGTCTACCTTCCTCTGCTTCATTATCAAGAAAGAGTAAGAACTACTTGTTAGGGACCAGGAGTTGGCGTAATGGCTATGTCGTTGGACTCCCATGTAGTCGACCATGGTTCAAGTCCCAGACCCGGTGGCTTAAAACTCACGCCGGGCGCGTGTGCATGCGTGCCCAAGATCCCGAGAGGAGAATGGAGGAGAAGGGATTGTGGTGTGGCCATTCCCCCTGGGGGGTGATTTCTTGCTTTCTGTCTCTGTCTCTCTCTATCTTTCTGGAGAGTGCATGCACCCTTATAGCAAAAACCTCTCCAAAAAAAAAAAAGACTGCTTGTGATTCTGGCAAAAGAAATGGGAGAGGAAAGTCACAGAGGAAAAAAACTATTTTAAATAATATTTTATCCCTTCCATTTGCATGTGAAAATATAGCTAAATGCCTCCAACATCCCTATCTCCTATTGTACCGTCTTATTCATGGATATCACTGGACCTTTCAGTTCCCCCAAAAAATTAGTGCCTCGGTTAGGCAATTTTAACAGGAAAAAAAAAAAGATAAAATCTCTACTTCACCATTCAATAAATAATTACCATGTATCTACTACATGCATGCACACTAACTGAATAGAAGATAAATCATCAAAAGACATGATTCATAACTTCAAGGAGTTCACAATTTATTTGAAGAAGACAAATACATGAAAAAGTTAAATAATAATAAAACATTCTTTTAAAAATACAGAACAAGGGAACAGCAGATGGCATTAACAGTTATGTTGCTGGACTACCCACGTAGGTGACCACGGTTCAAGTCCCAGACCCGGCAGCTTAAAACTCATGCCTGGAGTGTGTGCATGTATGTCCGCCCAAAATCCCAAGAGGAGAATGGAGGAGAAGCGACTGCGGCATGACCACTGACCCTGGGGGGAGGGGGGTGATTTCTCACTTTCTGTCTCTCTGGTGAGGACACATGCCCTATAGCAAAAATCTCTCTCTCTAAAAAAAAAAAAAAAAAAAGGAGTAAGTCATTAATTAGTATATGATAAACTATGGTACCAGAAAGAAGTGGTACTAAAGGTGATTTTAAATACTATGTGGAAATTAGGTTAGAAAAAGGATATTATGAACAGAATTGGAAAGGCACTGGCCTGGTGAGAAAAAATGTTTAGAGAAGAGAGGAAAATCAAATTTGGTATACAATCAGGACCTGATTTTATGAACCTTGAATGCCAAGAAAGTCTAGACTATATTTTCCAGTCTAGACAACACATTTTTGTATGAGAATTAACCCAATGGAAACAGCAATTTAATAAGGCTACTTCTCCAAAGATGGGAATGGTGAAAATGGGGCAAGACCAAAAGCAAAGTGATCATTAAAGTTCTCCTACTTTAACCATCTCTGAAAGTTTAAGATCAGAGAAATGAACAAAGAACGATCATGAAATAAAATCATCAATTAAAAAAAAACCTTGCATTTCTTATATGCAGCATTTATATTGGATAGAATCCTATAGATCTATTCCTTTCTTCGGATGGCAAAAGGAAACATAAATCCACAGAATTTTAAGAACAGAAAGAGACTTTAGAGACAAAGTTCAATATTCTCACTTTTTTTTTCAGATGAGAAAACAGAGACACAGCAAGATGAAGCAATCTAAGATGATAAAACTAGGTTAATGGCTAAGAGGGGACAAAATCTCATAAAATAACGCTGTCGCGAGAAACTTCAGCCCATTATAAATGGAGAGCAGATAGCATATTTCTAGGAAACATGGCTGATTTCTCTAAAGAAATAAGTAAAATCTTCACTTTATGACCTACTGTAGCAGAAGATGCCTAGAGATGCAAAGAGTAGTTGCATTTATCTCTACCTGGACTAAAGACGGGCACGGCGGGGAGAGAGGCATGAATGTATAATGATCCAACAATCTTCGAAAGCTGAAGCAAGCCCGTATCCCTCGGCTGGTCGGGCCGTGGCAGATGTCTCTCACAGCTCTTCTCGACACTGTGCTCCCTGGCGATCAACCTGTGGATTGGCGTTACTGGCACACTAGCTAAAACCTACTTCCTATTTCTCCTCTCCATTCTCCAAAAGGCTAAGTGAAGCAGCCCTTTATTTCTGTTTTGGGTTGGTTTTGTTTTGTTTTTCAAAAGCTGCTGTTTCTCCTGCCCACAGTCTTCTCCACCTGATATTATCCCCCTGGTCCTAAAGAGATCTATTCTTACCAATCTCTTGGTGTGGTACTTCTCAAACTTCAATGCGTGTGCACATCCTGTGAGAACACTGTTAGGATTTAATAGGTCTAAGGTAGGGACCTGAAATTCTCCATTTCCAACAAGCTTGCAGGTGAGACTCATGCTGCTGGTTCACCAAGCACATTTGCAGTAGGTTACCTACTCTTCAAAAAGCCCCAGAGAAAGTCACCATTATTGGGGAAAAGTATTAACGAAGGGCAAAAGGAAAGCATCCAGGAATCTAACTACACTAAGGCTCCTAACTTAGTTTCACCTACAGCTTTTTGGTTTTGCAAAGACGTTGACAGACAAACTAACCCTAATACCCAGTCTCCCAAGCCTCACTTAGGTCGCATTTCAAGCCTGACACTTAATTGCAGTCCTATTATTGATAATGACTGTCCCTGTAGCTGTCTCTGGTTAGCCCCGGTCTCACTGAAGGTGAAAGAATGCTTGTTCTAAAATATTTTCTAAAGAAGAATGGAAAAATGCCAACTAATAATATAGCAAACAAAATGCACAGCAGAAAAATGCCTGCGATAGTATTATGGCAAGTGTACTCGAAATCTATAGAATACTTAGGAAAGGCATACATTTTATATAATAATCTTCAACCATACCTTGTAATTGCATGATAAAAATGTATTCATAGTTCAGAAACTACACAGTCTTTTCTGTTCTAAATTTAGCTCATTTATTATCTTTATTTAAACTTCATTGATCTGAGGTTTAAAATTCTTACAGTTAAAAATAGCAAAAACACTATTCAAAGTCTTTTTCCAGGAACATCCCCTTTCAATATTAACTCTTTAATAATTCAAAGGCATCTACAATTAAAAAGAAGAGGAAATCTGTCTTCTTCAGTTAGTAGTTCACTTTTACTTCAAACAGAGTTCATTTCCTTTTTATGTGAAAACTGCATAAGTGATTTTTTTCCCTTTCTGTCCTTTTTGAAAAGGATATTAATATAAATGACTGGGAAGTTCAGAACTTTTTTATTTACTACATTAAGTGCCTCTAAAGTTCAATAAAACAAAGCTTAAACCACCACAGAAAGCTTGGACAGAAGCCTAGCCACGGTGGAATAATGCCACTGTTTGATGCCACTACTCATGAGGCCAAGGCCATGGAGGAGGTTGGGGTTCAATTTCCCGCCCACCTTAAAAAGCCAAGCACAGGGACCAGCAGGTGGCGTGGCGGTTAAGGCGCTGGACATGCTCACATGGCCAACCAGGGTTCAAGTCCTGAATCTGGTGACTTGCTTTCTCATTTTCTCTCTCTCTCTCACTCTCCCCCCCTGTCTCTGGTCAAATTAAAAAAAAAAAAAAATCAATGAATGAATAAATAAAATAAAATAAATAATTTAAAAAAAAAAAAAAGCCAGGCACAGTAGTTTGTGCCTGTGGTCCTAGCTACTCAGAATACTGAGGCAAGAGGAACATGACAGAGCAAGACACTGACTTAAATAGTGAAGGGAATAAAGACTTAAACAATTTTGGAGATCAAAAAGGATTTCCTTTTTTCTTAACTAGGCTAGAAATAAATCCTTGTATATTTACTCAAAAAAAAGCATCTGTTTTGTGCATAATTTGAGCTAAAAGAACCTAAGAAATCATTTGAACCAATCTTCTCATTGGTTGACCGTAATTCAGGCCCAGGCCCAGCCCCATAGCCTAGCATACTGGATCCCACATGGTTGATCGTGCAATTTAAATCCCTGATGGTTAAAAATAAACATGCCCTTAGGACCAGCAGTTGGCATAGTGGCTATGTCGGTGGACTCCCACGTAGTCAACTACGGTTCAAGTCCCGGACCCAATGGCTTAAACTCAAGCCAGGCGTGTGTGCGTGCATGCCCAAGATCCTGAGAGGAGAATGGAGGAGAAGGGGTTGCGGCATGGCCATCCCTCTGAGGGGTGATTTCTTGCTTTCTGTCTCTGTCTTTCTGGTGAGCACATGTGCCCTATAGCAAAAACGTGTCCAAAAAAAAAAAAAATGCCTAGAGCTTGTGCAGATGCACAATGCATATCCAAAATCCCAAAAGAATAGAAAAATGGAGAACATGGGATTGTGGCCAGACCATGCCCCACTGTGGGACTGCTTTATCCCTCCCCTTCTCTCTCTCTCTCTCTCTCTCTTTTCTCTCTGCCAAACATGCAAGCTCTGTGTCAGGAAAGAAGGAAGGGAGGGAGGGAGGAAAATGGATTTAGACACAAAGATGGTTAAAGAGGATACATAAGGAACCTGCCAAGCCAATCATAAATCTCTGGAAGACATTTAACTTAAATTAAATTATAGATAAGAAAATAATCGAGATGGGACCAGGTGGTAGCATAGTGGAGTACAACTGGACGTATGTGGGAGGGTACTATGTTTGTGTCCCAGGACCTCCCTGAGCATGCCAGTGCACATGTATGTGCTTGTGATCTGGGCCAGGTAAGACATAGGGGTGGACTGCAGAGTGAAGATCCTACTTGGGGTACCTCTCCCCATCAGAAGAAATAAACAAACAAATTTTTCTTTAAAGAAAAAAAGAAAGAAAGAAATCAAGTACACCCCTGACCAATAAGAGTCAGTCTTAATAGAATAACCTAAAAAAGGGAAAACAAAAAGCAAATGTTTATGATAAAAGAAAAATGTCATGCCAATTCTCCTCTAGCATCCTTGCTTGAGAACAGAAAAACATCGTATATATTGGATTCAGTAGGCAAACCTTTTTACCTTTTCTGATACAGCTTTCCATTATGTCACCTGCTCCCACCACTCTCTATAACTTGAGTTCCTGCACTACGTACATATGTAGGTCCTCAATTAAGCTACACGGTTTGTTAGAGTACAGACTGTCATCTTTTGCACAGTTCCAACTATCTATTAATAGTTTGACACTACATACGGAAATCTTAACAGATGCTTACTGAATTCATATATAACCTACTATAATCTGCTGACCTAACTTAGATTTCTTCAGTTTATTTTCATTAGAAACTATAGTTGAAGGAACATCCTGACTGACATATTTCAGGATTCTAGTCTCCAAGTCAAAAACTATATAGGAGGCTTTATATATTTCTTTGTCTAAGGAATGAATGCTCCCTAAAAGTGCCTATGGACAACTGGGACCAGAAGATGCCATAATGGTTACATCACTGGACTACCATGTAGTCAACCACGGTTTGAGTCCCAGACCCGATGGTTTAAAACTCATGCTGAGGGTTGGTGGCCGCATCTGAGCAGCAGACGCAAAGATGCAGATCTTCGTGAAGACCCTGACGGGCAAGACCATCACCCTCAAGGTCAGGCCCAGTGACACCATCGAGAATGTCAAGGCCAAAATCCAAGACAAGGAGGGCATCCCACCCAACCAGCAGCGTCTGATATTTGCCGGCAAACAGCTGGAAGATGGCCGCACTCTTTCTGACTATAACATCCAGAAAGAGTCCACCCTCCATCTGGTGCTGCGTGTGCGAGGCGGCATCATAGAGCCCTCCCTGTGCCAGCTCGCCCAGAAGTACAACTGCGACAAGATGATCTGCCACAAGTGTTATGCGCGCCTGCATCCCCATGCCCTCAACTGCCGCAAGAAGAAATGCAGCCACACCAACAACCTGCGTCCCAAGAAGGTCAAATAAGGCCCCTCCCCGCAGGGCAGCCCCTGCCCGAGCCCCATGGCCCTGCGGCCTCAATAAAGTCCCCCTCATTGACTGGAGCAGTAAATGGCGTGGCCCGGGCGGGGTGTCCC